TGCTACCTTTATGTCTATACAAGGTATGTTTACATTGCTACCTTTATGTCTATACAAGGTATGTTTACATTGCTACCTTTATGTCCGTACAAGGGACATTTATATTCAAATACAAGACAATGAAGACAATCTCTGTCAGTCATAAAACGTCTTTAATTTCGAGGAAAAGAAACTCTCTATGTAGGTGATGAGTTCTTAAAGCTTGCAATTTTCCTCAATCAGCCAGCATGGCATGTGTGACCATGGCTGGTTCTTTCTTCATTCTTGATTGTGTTCTCTCCAGGAGTTGATGACAGAACATAACTTTCACTAGTTAGTTTTTAATAAATTTACCAAATCAAAAGAGTAGGGAACCTTTATATTTTTGGACAATAAGGACCGCTGAGAGGCAGTCTTTTCCTAGTGAGAAAATGATTCCATAATTACATACACACTGTTAGACACAACCAGAACATCACGGAACAAGAAGAGATGGCATTTCTTCTGTCTCCAGAATTTTCTGAGCAACACAGGGCATTGGCGCAACAGGTCTTGACGTCTGCCCTCAGATGGTTTGTGTTTCTCCTTGAGGGCTGCCATCTCAGAAGAAAGGCTTTTCCAAGGACAGGTCAAACACTAACAGAGCAGATATGGTGATTAATTGACAGGACAATTTTTTGTTAAATTTAAACAGTGACATATAATTAAAACATATTCTCAACTACTAAAGTTTGTCTCTACTAATGTGGTGTGTGTGTGTGTGTGTGTGTGTATGTGTGTGTGTGTGTGTGTGTGTGTGTTGGTTGGTGGAGAATAAAAATAAAATAAAATGGGATCTATGTATCAAAGCACCACAAAGAAAATCATCACTTAGAATCTTCTTGTTTGTACCATGTGTCTTTAACTGACCAAATTTTGATGATGGTGACACAGTAGAGTGTTAAGTCTGAAAACTAAGTGTTTACTGATCTGTAGATATTTAAATTAATAAAAGTGACAAGACTATACTAAATATAAATTTCCACATAAAAGTTAGCTTTGAATTACTTCTGTTTTACATTGTCTGCTATTTTGGATGGGGTTGAATAACACTAAAGTAAAATAAGTTTTATGAATTAAATACCATAATGGAATCTATTAGTTTGGATATTGTCTTAAATAGGGCTAAAGGAAATAAAAACAACAGTTTCTAATGACTCTTTGTCAATTTGTTTCTTTAAAACTAATGTTTACATGAGCAAATATTAACTCTGTCTAATCACATACTATGAATTCCAAAGGAGATGGTCACAGGTGCAGTGATTTTTATCAGTAAATAATGAATGACCAATAAAATTAAAAGGACAAAGAGGGACATAAGATGGTGGTATTATGTACACATGTAAAACATTGCTAGGATGACAGAAACAGTTGTAATTTTGTTTCATGTAATATGAAAACAGAGACAAGTAAGGTTTACTGAAAGTTCAAATCTATCCTAGGTAAAACATTAAGTTTTTGGAACTAAATGTTAAGAAAATCAAGTAACACTGGAAACATTGTAATGTTTGTGAAAACAAAAGAATTATTAAGACATTTTCTTTAAATTTGATCTGTGTCCAATGAGGGTCTATTGTCACCACAGGTAAAACTACTAGATCAATCACAACATAAAACCTCTCTCATAACTCAGCTATTTCCCTAGATATTTATCTACCCTATAGCCCTGAGCATGCGTCCCCTGACAGTATAAACCCTGATTTCTTGAAGGGAACAGCACTAAGCATGATTAACAGGAGTTATGTTTCATGAGGCTAATGCTGTTGCTAGGCATCAGTTCACATGACGTGGAAGGAACAATAAAAACACTTCCTGAGACCATCAATTTCTTTGGAGATTGAAAAGTAATTAAAAAATACCTTCAAAGGGAATCCTGGAATGGATAGTCTTCCAAAGGATTGAAACTCTCCCTTTCTTTCTTGGGACTAAACGCCAAAGGCAGCCACGGCAGTTGACAGACCAACTGCTCAAGAGTGAGATTCTGCAGTAGTCAGGGTAACAGACCAAAGTGAAGTCATAGTGTGAAGCCTCAGGTTGTAACTGAAAAAGTGTCACATTTATTTCATTTCCATTCAAACTTTTAGCTTGAGAAAAATTATATTTGACTAAATTTGAGATTCACAATAGTTGTAAGGACTAACAGAGAGTCTCACAATATTTATTGTGATAAAAATGAATAGAACTTTATCCTCAAACTCTACTTAACTCTCATAACCAGATATCCTAGAATATCTTTTGATGATTCCTGCTGTAATGAAAGGAAGGACAAGGGGTGTTGGCCTAAACAATTTGACATCTAATAAGGGCAGTTTTGCTGATGTCACATCACAGTAAAATGTAATTGTGGAAGGAAGGTTTATAAGAAAGTACATGATAAAATAGGAAGACAGGCATAGTGATGTGGAACTAGTCTTGATCTCTGAAAAAAAAATAACCTTTCAAAGTTTGACATGGGGCCCAGAAAAATACCCTCATCCATTCAGAGGGTATTATTCCCAAAGTGCCACCATCCTTCAATGTGGCACAGTGGGGACTAAACTTCTATCCCATTAGACCACTGGACAAAATCAAATCTGATGATAGATCTAGAATAATTATGTTGATAAAAATAAGGTGAGGGCATCCTCACTACTCCAAAGATCTTACTATTCTTGTACAGTCACAGCCATTGACCGTTGATGGTGAGTACCCTCTCAGTATCCATCACATACTTATTCATTCTCCATTTATCAAGCATTGTCTTTTCAAAATCATGGTATATTCAATAGCATATGGCATACTCAGCCTTTTTACTTTCTTTTTTTAGCCAGCATAATTGTCATCACACATCATTTGCTGCTCCATGATAGTATTGCATATACTGCATGCCTGTGAGACATATTCTCCTATACTGTTCTTTGTTTAACAGTTCCACAAATGAAGGATTTATGGTTGCTGCAGTTAGGTGATAACAAATGCAGTTATTAAGATAATTTATGTAGATGATTTTAATCTTTCAAATGTCATTAGATATAACTGTATTATTTATTGTGAACTTTATCCCACTGCAGATGATTATCAGTATGCACATGACTTTGGATATTTTCCTTTATGTATATGTATTAATTATTTCAGTAGGACTAAGCATGTTAGAGAAAATATCTGAAATGACAGAAGTATGCAGGCTAAGAAAAGACATGGTACCTGTTCTCCATTGCCTCTCCATTGCCACCTTTCCTAGAGCACTGATTCTGAACATTCCTATTGCTGGAATTTTTTTAATACAGTTCTTCAGGTTGTCATGACCCCAACTATAAAATTATTTTCATTGCTGTTTCATAATTCTAATTTTGCTAGTATTTCGAATCATAACGGAAATGTCTGTATTTTCCGAGGATCATAGGTGACCCCTGTGAAAGGGTCATTGGTCCCACGGTTGAGAATCACTGTCCTAGAGTCACTAAGACAGTACTTTAAATGAGGATCCCATTCCTGAGTCTCAGGTTCCCAGAGGACTCAAGTCCTTCCCTAGCACAGACCCATGCATCTCAGGGATAAGCACATCTTCACTCTAACTGCAGTGCCTACGTCCACGGCAGACTTTTCTTGTAGCCTAGACTAGTACACAGAGCAAGACTCTCACTTGCACCCTAAGACTGGTTTCCTACCACCTTATTGAGTCCTTATTTGAATATGTGTCATTCAGTGCCCATTAGACTTTATATGCCTGCCAATTCTCATCAGCGTTTCTCTGGAATCAATAGTCCCGAGTAAAATCGCTAGTTTGTGAGGTGTTTTCCAAGGCTTCGCCTTTTATTACTTTCATTTATTATTAAAGATTCATTCAATGTTTCTTAGAAGTTACTGTTTCCTAAAAAGTTTTCTATTCGTATTTCCAAAAGCCAAAATATATTTCATTTCAGGGTCTTTTTCTGTAATGTAATTCTCATTTCCCCTTTACCTTTCCTGAAGTCTTTTTTTCCCCAGGATTTTTTAAATTTTTTTTAAATTTATTTATTTATTTATTAAAAATTTCCACCTCCTCCCCGCCTCCCTTTTCCCTCCCCCTTCCCAACGCCCCTCCCTCTCTAGTCCTAAGAGCAGTCAGGTTTCCCTGACCCGTGGGAAGTCCAAGGTCCTCCCCGGTCCATCCAGGTCCATAAAGGTCTAAAAAGATGAGCATCTAAACAAACCAGGCTCCCACAAAGTCAGTCCATGCAGTAGAATAAAAATCCAGTGCCATTGTCCTTGGCTTTTCAGTCAGACTTCATTGCCAGCCACGTTCAGAGTGTCAGTTTGATCACATGCTCCATCACTCCCAGTCCAGCTGGCCTTGATGAGCTCCCATTAGATCAGTCCCAGTGTCTCAGTGGGTGGATGCACCCCCTCGTGATCTTGTCTTCCTTACTCATGTTTTCCCTCCTTCTGCTCCTCATTTGGACCTTGGGAGCTAAGTCCAGTGCTCCAATGTGGGTCTCTGTCTCTATCTCCATCCATCGCCAGATGAAGGTTCTATGGTGATATGCAAGATATTCATCAGTGTGGCCATGGGACAAGGCCAGTTCAGGCACCCTCTCCTCTGCTGTGCAAGGAACAATCTGGGGACCTCTCCTTGGACCTGGGAACCCCTCTAGAATCAAGTCTCTTCAAAACCCCTAAAATGTCTCCCTTAATTAAGATATTTACTTCCCTGCTCCCATATCCCCACGGCGGGGGCAATATCCAGGGTGGCGAAGGGAAGCAGACAGGAGAGCACTCAAAATAAAAGGCCTCTTTACAGATTTTTTTTTATTTTGTATAGAGAACAGGTAGCGACTCCGAAGATCAGCCCCAATGAACATGTCAGTGTTGACTTTACAAGAATATGAATTCGAAAAGCAGTTCAACAGGAATGAAGCCATCCAATGGATGCAGAAAAACTGGTAGGTGATGCTTTTCGCATGGTACTGTTCCCGGGAGTGCATTAATGTCGGTATTCACGGTCTGAGCATGAGCGAAGCGATGAATTGCTAGCAGCAGGCAGCAAGCAGATCGAGGAGTTCTTGAGTCTAATGTCTGCAGGAGTCTGAGGCTGCATGAAGCGTGCGGTTTGGGGGTGCCCTGTCTGAGCCACGGCCACGCGGGCATCTTTGTGTAGAGTATATAACGTAGACCATATAATATGTGTGCCTGGAATGATATACGGGAGACAAGGGAGACAGACATATACTACAATCCAGATACCGCACCTGTGCTGTCTCCCGGCTTTCGCCTAGATTTGGGGGTTTTGCTTGGCCTCCGGCAACTGGAGCATGCGAAGTAGTGGAGGGAGGACCCGGTCTCCGCTCCCTTTAACCCTCTCCTGAAATCTTAAGAGTACACACTTGACTTGGTTTGAAATCTTGAATTTCCCCTACACCTGTTTCAATACCCTTTCCAATGGTACAGAATCCCTTTTCTTCCTGTTAACATCTCTACACCTTTGAGTGTAGAACTTCAGCAAATCCTTGGGAATGAGCTTTCATATCAGCACTCACTCACTGGACCCTTTACCAAATACTGTAATCTGTCTAGCACTGAGGTGACTATAAAGTTCTATCTATAGTCATAGTCAATATACAAATGGATTGCAGAAAAACGTTTACAATGATATAACCAATATAATAATGAAATAATCCTATTAAGCCATCCCAAGATTTATTTTTTGCTTATGTTCTCTTTTATAAAACCCCAGATTCAGAAAGACCAGCACCTTGTCTCATTTACTGATAGCTTGTACTCAGAACTGTGAACTTTAATAGGGGCTAAGCTTGTAATTCTTTCATTAATGATCAGGATAAATTTATTTCCTAAATTTTGGAGGCTAAATGAGCTAATATACATAAATATCAATGGTATTGAATTGTGATGTGTAATAAGGTTATTGCAATATGAAGTAAATTTAGAATATAAATTAGAAACAATTTTGCAAGTCTTAAATTTATCTTTGTAAAGTTGGGGAGCAGAGACTAAAGCCAATAGAACCTGATGAGAGTGAGGGAAGGCAAAAATGAGCTGCTCAAGTACATAAGTCTAACAGTGTAGGCAAAATGGCTGACAAAATGTGGTTTTTGTTCTTTGATATGTAAAGTATTTATGAATGACAATTGTCCTTTTACAATGGTGTTTATTTAAAAAGGCAGCATCCAGTTCAAATGTATGCTTTCTATATTAATGCGTTCTATCTTCTACTTGTATCTCTGCCACATCAATATTCAAAGAACACTCACACAACAAAGACAAGAGTACGTGTCTACATAAAAATACACATCAAAAATCATGACTCCAGATACCTAAATCCCAGCACAAAAACACAAACATGAACAGCCAAGACAAATGTGCCTCTCACAAAGCCAGCAACCTCATTACCATTAAATTGCTGACCAAAGCAATTTAACTGAAACCCAAGACAAACAATTAGGAATATGACCATGAATATTAAAGAGGATATGAATAAAGGCATTAAGGAGGAGGTCAACAATGCAAACAGGTGAATTAAATAGTGAAAACTAAAAAGACGTAAAAGTGGAATTTAGTAAAGAAATACGATAACTAAAGAAGACACAGCTGAAAGAAAATTAGGAAGAAAAATGTGATGTCAAAAAATCCTTCAAAGTTAAGTTCCACCAGCAGATTAAAAGATATGGAAGGGAGAATTCCAGGTATTGACAACAAGATAAAAGATATAAAGCTCAATTAAAGAAAATATTAAAACTAAAAAATAATCTAGGCCCTAAACTACCAGTGAATCTAGAATACTATGAAAAGACCAACTCGATAAATAGTAGAACTAGAGGAAGGAAGAGAAACCCAGGTCATAGGCACATATTGTGTTTTAGTTTCTAAAAATCATTTAAGAAAAGTTCAACAAAGTAAAGACAGAGATGCCTATCAAAGTACAAGAAGCATACAAAACACCAAATGGACAGGACTAGAAAATAAATTCTTCCAAACATAACAGAACATCAAATATACAATACAAAGAAATAATATTGACAGTATAAAGGGGAAAAGTCAAGCACCATTTAAATGCAGGACTACTAGAATGATACTTGACTTCTGAATAGAGTCTTTAAAGCCAGAAGACACTGGAATGGTGTTTTAAAACTCCAGAAGACCACAGATGTCATGCCAGATAATATACACAGAAAAACTATCAGTCTCAGTAAACAGAAAAAGAATCACATTCTACAAACCTACATTTGTAAGCAATTTCTCTCTACCTGTCCAGATCTGAAGGTACTAGAAGAAAAATGTCAGTGTGAAGAAGTTAGTCACTCCCAAAGATATACTCGTAATTAAGATCAAAAGAGTAAATCAAAAGTGAAAGCACACCACAACAACAATGATCATTAATAACTTAAGACTGATGTTCTCAATTCCTGAAGCATAAGACAGACTAAAAGACTGGATTAAAAATTATGATACATCTTTCTCCTGAACCAAGGAAATACACCTCAACATCAACAGAAGACATCACCTTAGGGTAAAGGATGTAAGAAGGTATTCCAAGCATACAAGCCCAGAAGATAGCGAGTTGAGTACTATTTTAATAACTGTCAAATTAATTTAAAAAATGAGCATTATTTTAATAAATGTTAAATTGACTTTAAAAAAAGGAGAAGAAAAGAAAGTAGTCAAAAAATTGGGAAGAACTCTAAATACTCATTAAGGAAAAAAAATCCATCAAGAAGATAATACATTTTTACTTATTTTTAGATCCAAAACAAAGGCACACACAACCAAGAAGATAATAAAATTTTACTTATTTTTTGCATCCAAAACAAAGGCACTCAAGAAAATACTTCTATATCTTGAATCAAAATTTCACTATACAGTGATTGTTGGTGATTTACTACCCCAGTATTCCCAATGAAAAGGTGTTCTAGACAAAACTTAGACAGAAAAATTCTGAATTTGAATGAACATCATAAATTAAAATAAGTCAAAGAGACACATAAAGAACATTCCATACAAACACTCAAGGACACATGTTCTTAGCAGATCATGGACTTTTTTTTTTCAGAAATTCCTCACCTATTAGGACAATAGACAAGTCTCAATGTGTAATGGAAAACTGAAATAACTACCTGATCACCAGGAATTAAAATTGGATATTAATAACAATAGAAACAGCAGAAAATATATAAACTCACAGAAACTGAACAGCGTACTATTGAATGAAAATTGGGTGAACCCAGAAATCAAAAAGGAACTGGACAACTCTTTTTATAATTCAATGAATTTAAAAACACAGCACAACAAATCCACAGATCACAATGAAAGTGGTTATAAATGAAAAATATCTAGCAATTAGTACCTACCAGAAAAAAAACTATGGACATATTAGCAATTTAATGAAACTTCCTAAAGCTCTACAACAAAAAGAAATAATACCTCTAAAGAGTTAATGGGAGTAAACAAACTCGGCACTGAAATCAATGAAAGAGTGATGTGACACCCTCTTCTTGGCTGTGTACACTACTATGTAGATACATACACTACTACTACTCCCGCACAGACACACGAAAATAAACATAATTTAAAATAAATTAAAAATTAATCATCACTGAAAATATAATGCAAATTTTCCTCATCCTCTTTGTCTTGATTCTGATCTTCTGTGCTTGCAATTACCAACACTGGGAGAAAAACATGACTCAGATATGACTGAGGCCTGCTGAATAGACTCTGTATTCTTTTTCTCTTTCAGATTTTCAAACTTTCCTTTCTTTACTTCTGAGATTGGTACTTTCCTCCACTACCTACTCATTAGGTTGACTGGACCCAGTTATCCCAATGACCCTCACAGTATTTGTGTGACATTATTTTCTGTGTTCCAAAAAGGTCACTAAATTGGGATAAGCAAAGTTATAGTTTAAATCAATGAAATCAAGAATATACTATGTCCAATTTATAAATCCCAATGTACTGTCTTGTCAAATCAATATTAATTCATGGTACAAATATTGAACCAAACAATTAGTTAAATGGTAGATGCATTGTTTAAAACAAATGGAGTTTAGGAGCAAAATGAATAAGGAAATGATTAATTTGGGAATTTGCCATAATAAAGAGTAGAAGTGAAAACTATATGGTTATAATTTTATAATATAATCTTAATTATATTATAAAATAACTGTAATTTTAATAACTATTGCATATTAAGAAATACATAAATATAGTTATTAAAGGTAAAATCACCATCTTTATACAAATAAATAGAAAATTGGCTCAAAAACAAAGAGTCTATTCAATTTAAGATATATCCCTAAATGCAATTGGTAAACTGTATTTCAGGGGCATATGAACATTTTAAAATAACATTTACAAACAAGACACAGACTTGAAAATCACAACATCAAATGTAAGATAAGCAAACAAAAGGAAACCATATGCATTCTGCCTTGCTGTGCTGAGAAATAGTGCACTGTCAGCGTTAGCTAGGAACCTAATACAAAATAACTCAGTAAAAGGCTGCTTGTGTACATTTTTCTTCTACAGACTGGAAATTTTCAGAAAGCAAGTAAAATGAAGCAACTCATGATAGATGTATGAAGATTCCTATTGGAGACTGAGAAAAGGAATGTAGACAAAGAGGAGATACGTAGTTGGCCCCAGTCACTCAGAGAATCTTACACTTTCATCTATAACAACAGAGGATACTTGTTGTAAGAGCTCCATCTGCTGGAAGACACATAACAATGCAGTTCTGATCATAGTAATCTCTTCACACGTTCAGTGACAATTATTTTCCGTTTTATCTAAGCTTCAGGCTACTGAAAATACAATTAAATATTTAACAGTCCTATGAGGAAGCAATAATAACATGAAAGTTAATTGTGTGATTAGGCATAATAAAAACTCTTAAGTAATTAGATTAAGCATCTTATTAAAT